TTGTACTCAGAACTTCATCTTCATTTACTGTTCTCCTCATCTATGTTGATGATATTATACTTTCTGGGGATTCCATCACTGAAATACAACGTGTCAAGACTTTTCTTGATCAACGTTTCAAAATAAAAGACCTTGGCAATCTTCGTTTATTTCTTGGTCTCGAAGTTGCTCGTTCGAAGGATGGAATCATACTTAACCAGCGCAAATATGCGCTTGAACTATTATCTGATGCGGGTCTACTGGCTTCCAAACCTGTGTCCACTCCAATGGATGCTTCACTGAAACTCAGTCGCACAAAAGGCATTCCCCTTTCTAATGAGGCATCCTATTGTCGACTGATTGGGCATTTACTCTATCTAACCACAACACGCCCCAACATTTGTTTTGCTGTTCAACAATTGTCCCAATATGTCTCTCATCCTACAGATGCTCATTTGGCCGCTACGCATCGCATCTTACGCTACTTGAAACAATCTCTTGGTGAAGGCCTCTTCTTTCCTAGTTCAGGTAACCTTCACATACGTGCCTTCGCGGATGCAGATTGCGCTTGTTGCCCCGATACTCGACAATACGTAACCGGATTCTGTGTTTTCAGTGGTTCTTCATTGATATCCTGGAAATCTAAGAAGCAAACCACGGTCTCTCGCTCCTCCTTTGAAGCAGAATATCGTGCTTTAGCAAGCTTGTCATGCCAGTTGCAATGGCTTCACTTCTTGTTTCAGGACCTTCATCTTCCTTGGCAAAGGGCTACTTCTGTTTATTGTGATAATCGCTCTGCGATATACCTAGCCCACAATGCTACGTTTCACGAACGTTCTAAACATATAGAACTTGATTGCCATGTTACCCGCGAGAAGGTTGCTTCCGGTTTGATTCGTTTGCTTCCTGTTCCTTCTTTCGCTCAATTAGCTGACATGTTTACTAAAACCGTTGACTACTACTAAATTTCGGCTGAACACTCCAAGCTGGGCTTTGCAAATATCTTACGCCCATCTTGTGGGGGGGTATTACAAGAGTCCAATGCTCAGCCCAATTCGCAGGCCCAACCTTCTCAAACCCACAAAATGCAACTCACTGATATCACAGCTTCTGAAGAATACAAATTCAGAACTGATCATAATAGAAATAACGGCCTTCAGTTAGCATGATGAGCTGGCACATTGCCAGTTAGTTAATTAGTTCTAACAGTATTTGTTTGTTATTTTTAGTTCGCGCTTTTCGTAATTATCAGCTATGCATTAAGCATACCTACAAATATAGGTTGCATGTAATCTTTTACTTAGAATTCAATGTTATCCTTTTTATCCAAATCTGTTATAGAGATAGACTGATAGAGAAAGAGAAACAATGAGATCAAGAATGACTCTGAATCCCACCAGAGACATAAATATGCAGCTTGATCCCACCAGTTCCTAGTGCAATAAAAAACACTCCAATGAAGAATATAGCACTTTGGGCTAAGTATGAAAGTGTTAACATGAAGATCCATGTACAAAATTAATTATCATCCCTGGACAAATTGGGCTTGTTTTGTTGAATAAAGAGAAAAGGAAAAGCGGGTAGTTTCAATTGCTACCTTTGTTACTTCACATAAATAACAAATATTTTGCATTTGGTGCCATTTTCTACAAATGGATTTTTATGAGATAGTGAAAGCGAGTAGCTTATGTTCTGTACCTTAGTTTGCTTCAACATCACAGATTCACAACTATGTGATTTTATTTCTAGAATGGCAGTCCGCACATACCTGACCAGATGCAGTGATAATTGATGTTGCCACATGTAGGGTCTTGCAATAGGAGTTAGAGATTTTTTGTCTGAAGAACGTAATCCGATGTCGAGATAGATTTTCCTCGTATGTGATTCTAGCATATTTGATTCTACTGTTCTATTGAATTTAACATTGACATGCTTTTTTTCACTTTTTTATTTTTGGTAAACATTTTTTTCACTTTTTTTAACCACATTTGAAATTTCATTTTGTTTTCAAATAACGTAAGATAATTCAAAAATAATTGATCTTTTTCTCTTATATCATTCATTCTTATATTAATTATTTGAAATGAAAAAAAAGTAACTGATGTTAAATTGGTTTTTTACAAAAGATCAAGTATATTATTATAACTATGAGTTTAATTTTTGAGTACATTTACAAATTAGAAAGTACTTTTTCAATCCAAACAAATTTTTCTTAAAAAGAGATTTTAATTCTTTTGTTTTGATTTTACAAGGAATTAATGTAACGTCTGGCAACTTGCAAGGATCAGCGTGCTTTGTCCTCACTCGCACACTTTTCAGAAAAACTTCTCAGGAGGTCACCCATCCCATAATTGCTCCAAGCCAAGCACGCTTAACTATGGAGTTCTTCTGTTCCTGGCTACCGAAAAGTAGATGCATCTTGTTAGTATAGGTAGTACCAATTAATTCTTATAAGTCATTCCCAACTGTATCGTCTCATACCGGCACAGTCTCTGGAATCTCTCTCTTTCGGGTGTTGATTCGATTCATTCATGTACCCCGTCGCTGGAAGCTGCCAGGAGTCGCTCCTTGTCAATGCCCTTTCGCACCGGCGATCACTCCCCTCGTTAGCGCCCGGGTGGTTACAATTAATGTACTTAAAAAAATTTAAATAATTTTTATATTAAATTTATTTTTTTATAGTTATATCCAAATGTAAAATTGCTTCCGATTTTCAAAACAAATATCAACTTTTTATGCTATCTATTTTTTTAAAAAGAAAAACCAGAACTTATCCAAACAAACTCTTTAATGATTGAGAATTCTCTTGAAGGAAGTGGAGTTGTGTCGTCCTAAAACGACCTCTTTAGAATGCAATATATCACTACTAAAAAAGTCTATTTTTTTTACGTAATTCAAGCAGTCGAATTTCTCTTCATTGATAATCTATTTTTCAACGAAATTAAAAATTTCGTTGAAATTTTTTGACAGAATTTGTTCTGTTAAAATTCTTCGACGGAATTTGATTCATATAACCTTAAAATTTTAAATTAAAGATTATGGTTATTTTCATATATCCTATCAACAACAGCTAATTTATTTTATTATATATTTTTCGTTAACTCTACGCTGTAGTAGTACGATCTAGTTCACATTGTAACGTTAGTAGAACTTCGTTATGTTGCAGTGAAGTGGACCCGACTTGGAAAGAAAATACTTTGTTGTTAATTTAGTTGTAGCGTAAACCTTTGACTGACTCAGGTTAAATTGATCCCTCTCACAACCATGTATGTCTACACAATGAAGATCATTTACAATTTAATATATATGTGAAGTGCTAAAAAGACATAAAATTCACGTCTTTGAAATTAATTGTTTTTCTCGAGAATCAAAGTTGATTTTGGTACAGAATGTTGGGTTATAAAAGCATGCAACTCTGCTTATAAGTTTAAGTTTTTGGGGTGAATTAATATTTTATATGGTATCAAAGCTTGTCATCAAGTAGCCACAAGTTCGATTATATTCTTCTAATAAATATTTAACTATAAACTTTCTTAACACATATTGAAGGGCATGTGTATTATTTATTTTTTAAGTTCAATGGACTCTTTGTAAAAGTCCGTGTTACAGAAATCTAATATAAAATCATTAATGTAAATATTGCTTACAAGCTTAAGATTAAGCCTTACAAACTCCGGTCAAAATTTTCAAAAAAAAAAAGACTTTATCCTTAGTGTAGCAAAAGTTAAGTTTGAAAAGATCAAGTGTGTTGAGCTTGTTACCTCTATAAATGAAGAAAATAAGGAATGATCCTTGAAGTGCCTAACTGGATCCATTCAATCATCTCTTTTCACAATCTAAAGTTTTCCATGTAAATATTTGTGATTAACTCTAATGAGGTTTTCTTAGAGCTTAAAAGATGATCATGCCTGTTAAGATACTTTGGCGAAACTGGTCCTTTAAAGAGCAATAATTAACGCTACATCAGGCACAGCATGTATGTGCTTTAGTTGTTGGTTTATTATTCTACGGTAGCACTAACATTTGTAATGTTTATTCAGTTATTCTATTCGAACTCTGCTCTATTTTAGGTAAACATATCTGCTTTGGCAGTTTGTCACATGGATCTTCTTCAGGATAGAGTTACGTAGTTTCGGTCCCCTCTCTCTCTCTTTCTTTTTTTTATTTTTTATTTTCATTTTTCTCATTCTATATATAGCTTCTCTCTTCTTCGAATGTGTGGTATTGCTTTACAGAAAAATATAAAATATTTCTGCTGTTAATGCAGATAAGTTATTTGCATTTACTTTCAAAACGACGTCGTTTTGGAATTGAAAGATTAGAAAATTATAATTATAAAGACTCTAATAACCCTGAAATAAATTAAAATTACAAAAATACCATGATTTTCGTTCTAAAATAACGTCGTATTGAGCTTAGTGCAGATAACTTATTTGCAGTAACGGGCAGAAAAAACGAACCCATTGCTTTATAAACTACCAGCTAGATTTTGCTCTTTTTTGGACCCAAAATGAGATGGCTCACTTCACCCTTTTAATTCTTACCACAACTGAAGTCATATATAAACTTCTCATAATTAGGTGAACTTTCTACTAATGTCTTTGCATGCAGTTTTCCGTGTCATGATCTCATGATTCTAAAGTACCAACATGAAATAAAATATATGCTTAAAGAATGCAAACAAAAGAATCCCATTTTTATTCATGGCCCATACTACAAGCCAGAGCTGGAAATCCACTTAGGGTGCACATGTACTGTAACTGGAATTTATAATATTTTATTTTCAGACTAATGAAAATATTATTTTATATTTTGCAATACAATAAAGTGTAAGGGAAAAGAAATTGCACTACTCAGTCCACCAAACTCTCATGACTCAAGTAGATAATTTGTTCAAACTTTATACACCAATCTACAACATAAATTGAAAAGCTCATAGAAAAAAGGTTGTATAATATGCCTAAGTAACATTCTTCTCATTCTGGTCCTTATATCATTGATTTCCAAGATCATTTCTAGGGTCAATGGAAATGGTGCTGTTCAGGCCAGGGCCAAAAGTTCTGTTGCTCATCAATGTTGTGAAACATGTTGCAGAAGCCTTCATCTTGAAGGTTTGGTCTTGATGAGTATTGGAGGAGCTGAGTTATGCCGGTGGGCTTTAAGGAAGTAGATAGAAGGCTTTTACCATTCTGAGAAGATACAGGACTAATCAAAACTGGTGTTCTTGAGAGATCTAAATTAATGTCTGAACTGTTTTCACTTCCATTGCTCCAAGAACCCTCATTTTCTTTCTTAAGGCTGATTATTCCAGCTTCACAACATTCCCTACTTTTTAGAGCTTGTAACTGCAAACACTATACAGTAAAAAAAAAGTGTAAAACAAGTCAAGTTGATCGAGTATTAACATGCCTTCAGCACCTAGCTAGCTTCATTGTATTTTTCTCCACGTGCTAAAGCATTAATTGGATCTGATGCAACTATGTCTCATTCTTAACAACTTGGAATTAAAACACAAGATATAATATATATTGAATACTAAAAGGAAAACATTACTAGTAATATGCAGTTATGACCTATGGGGTCTGGCAGTTACACCGACTCTTCACAAGAATGAACAACTAATAATCAAGCAGAAAGTTAGTGTGGGAATCGGTCACTTTAAAAAGTCACTAATACATGTGGGATCGTAAGACAATAATTGAAATGTTGTTTTAGAAGTAAATAAAAAGCACCAAAACTCTAACAAGGAAAAGGTTTTCCTCTTCTAATAAAGTTAAATAAACAACGGTATGCTTTCATTCTTCCAACACGAAAATATCAATCTACATCCAATATTGTGAAAAAGGAGAGAGCACTAAACTTGGTACGGAACCATTAGTTGTAAGAAAACTTCGTACTCACAAAGTATAACAAATTGAACTCATCAAGCAAGTCAAGGAAGAGAAGATAGGGGAACAAAATTTTAAATTAAACAAAATGATGAATTGGAGGATTGAGATTAAAACCACATTCGTTTCCTTTGAAAACTGAAGAATTGGGTCATACTCTTCTATCTTGGCCTATATATATAAATGGTTGTTTAATTAATGAAAATTGAATATCTGAATCAAGATCAAGAACATAGTTTAAATCATGATACCAATCCCTAGATCGATATATCCTCAATAAGCTCATCATGTTCTCATCTAACCATATATTCCAAAAACAACATTATTTTAATCCGGAATGGAAAGTTCAATGATCCAAGCACACTAGATAACTAGAACTATATATATATATTACCTCTTGGTGTAGTTTCTGGTTCTGAGACTTAAGGGCATCATTATCAGCCTTGACTGCTTCAAACCGCTTCTTGAGGATTTCATATTCCTTCTGCAATTGCTTGGTTTTCCATCTAGCCCTTCTATTCTGAAACCATATAGCGATCTGTCTTGGCTGCAACCCCAATGCCTTAGCGAGTTGCACTTTCCTTTCAGGCTCAAGCTTGTTCCCCAACTCAAAACTCTTCTCAAGTGCCTTAACCTGTTCCAAATTCAACCTCTTCTTCTTCTCCCCAATCTGGAACCCATCATCAGACAACTCATCATCTCCATGCACTTCATCACACTTGTTCTCAGTGCCTGAAAACGACATGGATCTCTTCAACATGAAAGCTGCACCCCCTGCAATACATAACTCAAAAAAAAAAAAAAAGTACTGTTATTATCGAAATTACCCTTTTAACTTTGAACCCTTTTGATGAAGAGAAAGAAAGAGATATAAAAGAGAGGGACCTTGGAAGTGTTGTGTTGGCAAAGAGGAGAAGGCGTTGAGTGAGGTTGAAGGGAGATGGTCATAGTCTTCATTATGAGTGTTAAACATGAAACTGTGAGAAGGTGGAAAGGCCATGGTAGAAGAGGATATGATAGTGATATATCATTCATGCAAATTGGTGGGTCTTTCTTTCTCTCTCTCTCTCACTACCCCAATTTAAGGAGCTACTGGTTATAAGGGTTTGGCTCTCACTCTTATGGTGACAAAAGTTTCTGAAAGAGAGATAATGATAATGATGATGATGGGAACAGAGACCTAAGGACAGCGATTTTTAGGTTGAGAGAGAGAGAGAGAGAGAGAGAGAGAAAATGAGACGTGTAATATATTGTGTAATATAATCAACGATTGGAGCTTTCGTGGACCCATCCTTTTCTAGACATAAAATCTACTCTTGAGATACGCAGGTTAATGGTGACTAAAATTGAATTATTGTTTAATGTACATTAATAATTAATTAATAAATTGAGATAATATATTAATATGTTTTACGAAACAAAGAATTTGTTAACTAAGTATGTATTTACAAATTATTAATTGGTGTATGAAATTGTAAAATTTTCAGGCATGTGAATATCAAAACTGTTGTATATAGTATATATATGGGATCTATTTACCTCATGTTGTATGAGATAATTATCTCATTCAATAGAGATAAGATAGTAGAATCCTTTATTTTATTTTATTTTAAAAAAAAGAAAAAAAAATATAATGGATCTCATTACTTTATCTATGTAGTATGAGATAATTAATTGTCTCATGCAACATGAGATAATTATTTCTCATAGTATATATCATCATTCCCTCTCTCTTTCTCTTCATAATAATATGGCATATATCAAACGTTTCTTTAAAATATTAGAATTACAATTTTTATGATCAGTTTAACAAAAATAAAAAATTAAAAAATGTTTTAAAGCATCCGAAAGTATTAAGTGCACTTGTCTTTGTCATTTTTCCTTTTCCATTTTAGATTAAAAGAATTACTGAGTTGATTTCCTAACAAAATAATTAACAATTCTATGATAATATATATTTAAATGTGCTCAATTTTATACATTATTTTTTAGTTAACTATGTCACTAAGAATCTAAGTTTTGATGTAATATCTAAATAAAATTGTGCGTACGTTGGGAGCAAATATTTTTACAAAATTATACAACAAATTATATAAGAATAATTTATAAAATAATTATCAAACTGTTATTTTCAATAAAAACCGATATATTTGTGTGTGTGTGTGTGTGTGTGTGTGTGTGTGTGTGTATATATTAAAAATTATAAGTGCTTGGTTATGTAATTAAAGGAATCAATCATTGTATTATATTTAACATAAAAGTTAAAGAGTGATATAAAATTTAAATAATATTTTCCTATATCAATACGTATGCATTATAGATAAGTTCGAACTTATACATGAAAAAGAATATAGATAAGCTCAAATTTAATGATTCGAGAATTAAGTTCGAGGCGAAAAAAATTATTTTTATATATGAGATGTTTTGGCCTTTTATTGCTCACCATGCCTGGAATGAGAGGTTGGGATCGAAGCCTTGCTTGGTTATGGTTAACCCCTGTCTTACTACACCAAAAGAAAAGCATATATGTCCAATAAAATGAACAAATTAAAGCTTGGTTTTTTTGGAGAAATCTGGATATGTTTGCTTGTATGCATGGTTTATATAATTGAAGAACTTCCTAGGTAAGCCCGGCTTATAATGGACGCTCTATTTAATCATTGAAATGAGTAAAATGTATTTTTAATTAGTCATGTAACATTATACATATGTAATGTTAAATGCAGTACATATATTAAATATTTTTTGCCTAAACATTTCTTATATAATTGATTACACATCGTATGAATGTGTAATTGGTTCAAAATTCGAAATACTTGGAAGCCAATAGTATATATAGAAACCAGATTTTACTTATAGAACTGCAATTAAATAATAGCGACATCTAGTGTGTGATTAAAAATGCCAACGTTCATACATATTTGACAATATTATACAATATTATAGAATAATATAAATCATTTAAAAAGTCATCACCCAGTATATTAAGATTTTGGATTGAATAGATTTTTTACATGGTATCAGAGCCTTAATAACAATCCACCCCCACCTGTGAAATTAAATAAGTATAAAGTAAAGAAACAAAAAAAAAAATTGAGCCTATGCAATATCAAGTTTCAAGCTCAAAGAGCTTTTACGTGAAAGAATGTGTTATAGAATAATATAAATCATTTGAAAAAATTATCACTTAACATCTTAAGATTTTGAAGTAAATTAGTTCAGACAAATTTGTTGTAAATAGTAATTATGTAGTCATTTATTAGTAATTATGTAGTCATTTATTTGTATTAAATAGTAATTATGTAGTCATTTATTTGTATTTATTTAGTCCGTTACTTGTATATTGGGCCAAGCCCATTAGGTCAAAATTAGGTCAAGAAGTCTCTATAAATAGAGACCCCTATGTACAGATTCAAATACGATTCAATAATATTTCAAATACCCTTTTATTTCAAGTTGGTATCAGAGCTCTCGATCCTGAGGGCTCTGCTTCCGCGCCTATTATTTTTAGAACAAGAACCTTTTATTCTTTTTGTCTCTCGCTGCCATCAGTCGCCACCGGATTTTTTTCCGGGGACCTCTTGGACCGAGAAGATCTCTGTTATACTAGATCTCTATTACTGTTCATCGTCTCCATTATTCTTCATCACAAGACAGCCAATCTCACCGGCGCGTGGCGACACGTGAGATCATATTTCCGGATCGGACCACCGCAATCTTGATCGTCCCTTCATCCTCTTTCTGGATCTGTGCTCCTCTCTTTGATCGGACATCGTTTGGTATTTATTTGTGATTTTTTGGCTTCTTGGAGCTTTTCTTTGACCATTTTCTGTGCAGTATGGCCTCTTCTCAAAGGAGTTCTTTTTCAAAATTTTATGATGGTACCTCTTCTAGACCTAAGAGAGATGATCGATGGTGTTCTTATTGTAAAAGAACAGGTCATATCAAGGATTTATGCTTTCGCCTTTATTGAAAGCAATCTGTCTTAGAAAAGATGGCAAAGTTGCGTGGTCAAGCGCATTTTACTTCCTATGAAATAACTCCTACACCTAATAAGACCCAACCTGCATTTCGTCCAGATGAGTTGGAACGGCTCCGAACCATTCTTGATTCTATGAGTAAGCCATCTGATACTAGTGCTTTGACTATGACTGGTATGAGCTCCAAAACTTATTATTTCCTTTCTTCATGTAATGATTTTAAACATTCTTGGGTTGTTGATTCTGGTGCTACTGATCATATGGCTTGTTGTGCTGACTCCTTTACATCTTATCATCCTACCATTGGAACTCATACAATAGCCGTAGTTGATGGCTCTCATACATCAGTTGCGGGATCTGGTGACATAAACTTACAGCAGTCCTTACATCTTAATGATGTTCTTCATGTTCCTAAACTCTCCACGAATCTTCTTTCTATTCATAAAATTACAAAAGATTTGAATTGTACTGTAACCTTCTATCCTACCCATTGTGTTTTTCAGGATCTCGCCACGGGGAAGACGATTGGTAGTGCTAAAGAGCAAGGTGGGTTATACTATCTGGTGTCACAATCTCCTGCAAATAAAGTAACAAATCACATCTTGATGTCTCATGGTCAATCAACTGCTGATTCTTTGATTTGGCTTCATCATAAGCGCTTAGGTCATCCTCCATTTAGTTTACTCAAATCTTTATTTCCGTCATTGTTTTTTTCTAAATCTGTTGAGTCTTTTCATTGTGATGTTTGTGAATTTGCTAAGCATCATCGTGTGTCTTTTCCTTCTAGTATTACTAAGAGTGTTGAACCTTTTGATCTTATTCATTCTGATGTTTGGGGTCCCTCTAAAGTCCCTCATGGTTCTGGAAATAGATGGTTTGTTTCTTTTATTGATGATTGCACTCGTGTAACTTGGGTGTACTTAATGCGTGAAAAGTCTGAGGTACCACAACTGTTCTTTCAATTTTATAAAATGATTGAGACCCAGTTTGGTAAAAAACTCAAGAGACTAAGAATAGATAATGGTACTGAATATGTTAATCATAGCTTTGCCCAATTTATAAGAAATAACGGTATGATTCATGAACTTACTTGTGTTGACACCCCCCAACAGAATGGGGTTGCTGAAAGAAAGAATCGTCACCTTCTTGAAGTGGCTCGTGCATTAATGTTTCAGACACATGTACCCAAATACTATTGGGGAGATGCTATTCTTACTGCAGCATTCTTGATCAACCGTTTACCCACTCGGGTACTTGACCATGTAAGTCCTATTCACTCTATGACTTCTTTTTTCCCTTCTATTCCAACTATGATGAGTCTTCCTCCACGAGTGTTTGGGTGTGTTGCTTTTGTTCATGTTCATAAACATCATCGCAGTAAGTTGGACCCTAGGGCTATTAAATGTGTTTTTCTTGGTTATGTTCCTGATAAGAAGGGCTACAAGTGCTATCACCCTAGTAGTAGGAATTTTTTTGTTTCTATGGGTGTTACATTTCAGGAATCTGAGTCCTTTTTCCAAGGTCCTCATCTTCAGGGGGAGAATCTTTCACCAGAAATCTCATCACCTCCCTTCTTTGAGTTTGAATCATCAGTGTCTACTCATTTACCTATGTCAGTGTATCCTCCACCTGGTCCTGTTCCTCCTGTGTCTGATCCTCTTGTGAGTAATCCTCCTGTGACTGATTCTCCTGTGATTGATACATCAAGTACACCAGAGATACAAAAGATTATGACACCTGAAAGAAGGAAACAGCCCACATTGTCTCAGCAGCAACCTCAATCTTCTGAACCACTGGTAAGTCCTGAATCTCATATTTCAGATCTTGATGTTAATACTTCTGATGACTTACCCATTACTACTGATTCTGATGATTTACCCATTGCTCTTAGAAAAGGAAAAAGAGCTTGTCCCAAGAAATCTTGTCCCTCATGTCCCTCTTGTACTCAATACCCTATCTCCCAGTTTGTTTCCTCTGCTAATCTTTCTGTGCAGCACAAAAGCTTTGTTTCAGCACTAGACTCTATTGCAATCTCAAAATCAGTACATGAAGC